AAATGATTGTGGCTCTCTAGTCTCTCCTAGTTAGTTTTGTTGGCCAGATTTTGTTGCAAATGCTTTCAGCTATATATTTTGCTTGAAATTTATCATTGGGGATACTTTGAACTTGGTAATATAATTTGCACTTAGTTATGTACTTTGGATCTTGTAGAATATTAATTTCTATGGATTAAGTTAATTTTATGATTGTATAATATGTGTTTGAAAATGTGTATTTAATTACACAAATAAAAAAATATTGATAGATTTGTGACAAATTATTTCGTCGCTAAAATTGAATGGAGATGAAATTAGCGACAAAAATATTTGGTCGCCCTATATGATGAAACGATGAAATAATATATAAAATGAGGGATAAAATTAAAAATACACGACGACTTTTTTTGTCGCTAAAGAAATTGGTGACGAAATTAGCGACAATAATTTGGTCTCCAATATGTTGAGACGACGAAATAAGTTACAAGAACAACGACATAAATTACAAAAATAGTGACAGATTTTTCCGTTGCTAATCTTGCCAACGGATAACTTTCGTCGCAAATCCGTCGCTCACTTTGTGACGGATTCAATTTTTTCGTTGCTAAATGGTTAGCTACGCGCAATATAGAGACGAACAATATTTTGTCGCTATTCCGTCGCTAAACCAAGATAGCAACGGAATAAGCTATTTAGCGACCGATTTTGTTTATCGCTAAACACAATTTTTTTTGTAGTGGTAAGTCAGGTCAAGGGTTCGCTTAGGACCAGAAATGTTTCTCGAGTGCGAGTCTTGCCCAGGGTGTAGGCTCGGGAAGTGACATTAAGCTCACACGCCCAAGAAACTCCACGAGTCGTGGTCCCTCTCGTGGACCTTGAGGCAGTGGCTAGTTCAAGCCACCCTCAATGGACATCCCACTAAGGTAAGTCAAAGACCACTCCCACGAGCCGTTTAAGGCTTCAAGGGTCGTGAAGTAGCTCGTGTGGAGGGGTCTCTTTTGAGGCAGCCTAAGGAGGCTATTGCATGCACCTCCATGAGTGGCACCACGACTCGTGGTGCCCACAACGGGTCATGAAGACCCTCGTGGTCTTGGTGGGCAGTGTTTTGGACAAAATGGGCAGCCTTGGCCCTTGACCTTTTTCCTTGACATTAGCCCTCACATTTTAGTTCTAGTTTTCGAGATGTTACAATTTAATGTATAGAGTTTTAGCTTATACACAGAGGATTAAATCATCGGTTCTTATAAGTATAAAGTTTTTTGCTCACAATCTAAGATGAAAATTGGACATGACATGATCAGTATGATTGCAGTATAAGATTATATATATTTTTTCTTGATTATGGGAACGGTATAGTTCTAACATTGTGCTAGTGCATTTTGTATATATTGAACGGGACCGAGTATAGATAATTATTTTAGATTGACTGACAAAAGTATATTCTCTAAACTATTAAATGTACTTATATTATCAATCATGATATAACTATTATGATTTGTATATATTAATTATCGTTTTGATTTATTAAAATGTGAGATTCTAAGATGAGTCTATATGCCTAGTAGATTGGATGGATGATAATAATATACATTTGTGAGATAATAAGTTCTATGATAGAGTCCATATCTCGATATAGAGATTGATGATATACATTTTTGAGAAGCTTAAAAGTTTTCATCGTGTCAAACATTACAAGTGAATTTATGAATCTCTCATAAAGTAAGTTAAGCAGTGCTCTAAAGAAAATTAATCTTTGAATTAAATTCGTCGATAAGTTAATTTATTAATTAGTATCTGTAATCTTAACATGAGTATTACATAAGTATTTAATGAGTAATTTTGAAATATAAACGGAGGAGTGCAATTACGAATTTCTAGTGGAATGATTTGTAATTTATTATGATAAGAATAATTTAAATTAATTATTTGAATTATTTCCATAATAAGGAACCTTAGTAATTAATTTTGTAGTTCCTACTTGACTAGAACTCGGAATTCTATTTCTAAGAGAAAATGAAGAAAAAAGTGTGTTTTCTGGTTCAAGAAGAGGATTAAGGACCACATGTTTTTCTTCTCTTTTTTGGAATGGGAAGAAATCTCTATAAGTAGGAATTCTTCTAACCTAGAAAGAAAATAAGTTTTCTATATGATACTTGCCCATTCAAGTATTGCGAGAGTTTGGTTGTGAACTTGAGATCATTGTAGAAGACAGCAAAACTGCAGTTTAACTTATGGATTCGCTTGAAGGTATATGTTCACGCTTCAAGAGGTATTTATCTAATTAAATTTCAAAAAAATTATGTGTTCTAACATGATTGTATGTGTTCTAGCATAAATATATGTATTGCCTATTATTCATTTAAGCGGTATGATTCTAATATGCTTCTGAGGTGCATATAGTTTCCAACTGTAAATTGGATTATCAAGTACTTTAGCATATTACATTTTTTTTTCATGAATGTTAAAATTAAATATGACTTTATTGAGTAGTAATAAGATATTTACATGCTCATGTATTATCGGATTGCAAGAAAGAAGTTAAAAGGTCTATCAATGAGAAATTGAATATCGAATGTTTACACAAAATTGTACAAATTTACTATACTTAAGTGATCTAATGATGTGAAAATGCATGTTAACTAATTACGACTAAATGTTAAAAAGTATATGTTATACACTAATTGGTTTGACATAAACATCGAATATAAGAAAATTTGAACGTACAAATTATTCATAGTTTAATTTTATATTAGATTGGATATTAATTTTATATTAGATTGGATACTAGATACAATAATTTTAATTAAAATTATGATGAGAGCAAAAACTTTGTAGTTGCAACAACTAAAACTTCAAATCCAACTTGTTTTGTTAGGATGCCTAATTTGGAGATATTTTTATGTTTTAATTTCTTTTTATGATGCATACTAATTAGGAAAAATGTTGACTTAAATATGGTCTTTATACTTGATTTTTACTCATTTACTATTTAAAATTAGATATTCATTACTTGTCACTTTTAACTTATTAAAAAAGATAATTGATTTTTCCATACTTTACTAGGGATGTAAATAGAGCGTGGCAAGTCTTGACCTGTTAAGATATTGCGCCATCTCACTCTGCCCTTTTTAGCATTCTTAAGAGTCTTGTCTTGTAATGACCCAGAAGGTCATCTTTAGAAATTTTCAAAAAATTATCATTTTATCCGTTCCGAAAATTGTCCCGAGTCATTTTTTATCAGTGTGTGAAGTTGGCTTTGAATTTTGATTGAAAGGTTGTGATTTTTGGAAGTCTTGAGTTCTGAAAGGCTTAAGTTATTTAAAAGTGGTTTTCGATAACAATCGGGTTTCAAATCTCGAAATGGAATTCCATCAGCGTAGAATTTAATTTAGGAGTGTTGTTGTTTCTGATTCGGAGGTGTTTCATTATAATAATTAATAATGTGATGCAATAACATATTATTTAATAATTACATAAAAGAATAATGTAACTCATAATAATTTACAACTTTAAATATTTAAAAACTATATAACATATTGGTCGTTCTTTGTATCACATAAATTGTGAGAAACAAAGTAACATATAACACGTGCTATTATATCTATCATCTATTATATGTATAGCGGCGGGGAAAAAGAGAACTCTAGAATTTTTAACTTCGTGCTTTTGTGGGCCTGACCTATATTTTTTTGGAAAATTATGCGAAATGACAAACATCTAGAGTATACTATATAATATAGCTATAGTTTTTTTTATTTTTAATTTGTAGCTATAATTTTGTGAAATTTTGTTATTCGGTTTTTAATTATATAAATCTAGAATTTGTATAATTCAGTCCCTGATTGTATAAATTCAAAATTTGTATAATTTGATTTTTGATTCTATAAATTCAGAATTTTGTATATGTTTATCCTAGTTATTTGTATACGATTTATAAAAAAATTCATAATAAATTACTTTGTTTATATATTGACAAGTGAAATATACAAACGGAGTTTTGAAAAATTTCTAAATGTATAAATACAAAATTTGTGTATATTACTATGTTTGTATATTCGCAAGCGAAATATACAAATCACAGCCTCCATAAGCAGACAAAACTAGCTATGGAGCACAAATACCAAAACTATAGTTATAGAGCCTTATTATGTCTATTATCTTTGCTATTTTCTAAATTTTCTCTATATTTTTCCACAAACCCATCCATCACCTACCCTGCCCTATTTAAATTTTACCCCGCCCCACCTAATCCCCAAATCTTCTCATGTTCTGCTCCATTAACAGCGTGTCCTGCGCTGCCCTGCCCTGCCCTACCTACCCCAATTGTCATTTCTACGTAAATCATTTTTAAAATTTAATACTAAACATTTATTAATAGAAATAATGTTATAAAATAGTCATGTCATGTTGGATATTTTTTTTTTTGGAGACGACGGGCACTATTGATTTCTCATAACTTGAATTTTATTATATCAAAGTAAAAATTCGCTTCGGCCTTACAATCTTGATAACTTGTTGCTTGCTTCAGCAACATTCTTGACTTAGCACTCACTCTTGTTTTCTCTCTTACTTTTTTTCTTGCTTTCTTACTTTGTTTCTTGCTTAGTTACATATCAAATGAACCATCTCTATTTATAGGAGGTGATGGAAGAATCTAGACAGATATATACTACTCTCTTGTAAAATATTCTTAACTATCTTTTTTTCTAGAACTATCAATTCTAGAACAATTCTAAACTTTTCTCTCTAGAATACTCATTCTAGAGATCTTCCTTCAATTCTCTACAATTCTGGATTATTCTAGATTTCTCTTGACTTATCTTAAGTAAATAATTAAGTTGGTGATGAATTCTTAACATGTCAATTATTATTTTTCGTCATGTCTAAATGCGCTAAATAAAAATGAACAGAGGAGTATTATTTAAAAATAATCTTTTGGGACCATGAATCCACTTATCAAAAATATTGGTGATGTGACTCATATAGTAATAAAATTTCTTGAGTAACCCCCGCCCTATCATTTATTAGTACATGGCAACGATTGCCATTTCTAAATTCTAACACCTAGAGTGAACACACAAATAATATATGGCAACGATGGAGAATGATAGTGTGGTACCACTTCTAACATCAAGAGTGAACAATCACTCAAATGGTTCTTTTACTAATAATTCTTCATTCAAACCAGATTCATATGATATCGAAGTAATCCATGGAGTTAAAGATTTAGTTCGAGAGTTTTCAGCAGAATCGAAAAAACTATGGTACCTTGCTGCTCCAGCCATTTTCACTTCCATTTGCCAATACTCAATTGGTGCCATAACTCAAGTATTTGCTGGTCATGTTGGTACCATTCAACTTGCTGCTGTCTCCATTGAAAACTCTGTCATCGCTGGTTTTTCTTTTGGCATCATGGTACGTGTAGAAAGACTTTCTGATATAATAACTATTAGTTCTAAATTTACTTGAACTCGACCAATTTAGGGATTTGCTTATTGTGATTACAGTTGGGAATGGGAAGTGCATTGGAGACACTATGTGGACAAGCATTTGGAGCAAAACAACTAGACATGCTAGGAACTTATATGCAACGATCTTGGATAATCCTCACCGCAACATCACTAATTCTAATGTTGCCTTATATTTTTGCCACGTCACTTCTCAGACTCATCGGTCAAACGTCAGATATATCGAAATGGGCAGGTATAGGCGAATCTAAGACAGATTCTATTCATTCATTCAACTTAACTGACTCTATATTCTGAATTCGTCTATACAGGTACATTTGCTGTGTGGATGATTCCACAATTATTCGCGTATGCACTAAACTTTCCGATACAAATATTCTTGCAAGCTCAGAGCAAGATCATGGTGATGGCCGGCATAGCGGCAGTTGGACTTATCGGACACACTTTGTTTAGTTGGCTATTTATGTTCAAGTTAGGGTGGGGATTGGTGGGTGCCGCGGTTGTGCTGAACGGTTCGTGGTGGTTCGTAGTGGTGGCTAAGTTGGTGTACATATTCAGTGGTGCTTGTGGAGAAGCTTGGTCTGGATTTTCTATAAAGGCTTTTCAAAATCTTTGGGAATTCGTTAAATTATCTTTTGCGTCTGCTGTGATGCTCTGGTGAGTTTCTTGGTTTAAATTAATTATTGCACTATTCATTCCCAGGCGGCTCAATCACATCAGTAGCTATATGCATATAATGAAATTATCAACTACGTGCACACATAACATATCGGGATTTTATGTTTCCTTTAAACTTAGTTTTTTGTATTATTTACTTTCTCATTAATTATATTATACCTGATAAAAATAATAATATCTATTAGTTAAAACACAATATATGCAAACTGATGCTTATTCATTTTTGCATCCCAAACTAAAATACATATAAACTATTCTCTCCGTTTCAAAAAAAATGACCTCCTAATTTCCTTTTTAGTCTATTTAGAAATGAATGACCTCTTTCTTTTTTTGGTAACATTTTGCTTTCAGCTTTCCACGTTATATGTTTAAGGTCACAAGATTAAAGGATAATTTTGTACATTTGACATAACTTTAATTTAGGATCACAAGATTCAAAAGTCTTCTTTATTTTCTTAAACTTCGTGTCAAATCAAACCAGATCATTCTTTGTGAAACGGAGGAAGTACTAGAATATATATAGAATATATAGTAGATCAGATATTCAATTACTATTATTTTCTCTCCAAGTAGATATTCAATCATTTTCATCATAATTTAGATATGCTTAATTTCTTCTTTTTTTTGTAGAAATAGGTTTAATTTCGTGTCTTGTCTCATTATGAATAATGACACGTAACACAAACTTTCAAGTAGATTGATATCATAGAACTAGGCTCCCCTCCAGTACAATGAGTATCCACTCTATCCAGTTGTTCAGTGGGTCTTTAATCTACTGACATCTGTCATTTAATAATTTAAAGGTCAATAATTAGTTAATCAAATTAACCTCTTAAATCATGGTTAAATCATGGTTCCGTGAAAGTATTTTTATAATTTATTTCTTTTCCATATTGACAACATGTATATAGAAGAGAATCTTGCTAAATCACTGTTCCGTTTTCTTTATCCGACGACAAAAATTAAAATAATTTTAAATTTTACTGTGTAAATCTACAAATTAAATTAATTTCCACCCCTAAATCCAACCTCTTTCAAATTAAATGTTCCATTCTTTTCATATTATTTAGTAACTCTCCCCATATTTCTTCATATATTCAACTTCTTTTTCTTCTTTGTGTTTGAAATATAAAAAGTAAACAAATAAAAAGGTTACAGAGATTTAACATTTACTAAACATACATAAAGGTTTAACCGTATATAAACGGTGTAATTTTCTTTCCCTGTTCATAATGATAACATTCCTGTTTTTTTTAGTTAAGCAAGAAAAAAAAATATTTAGTAAATATGTTCATAATTATCATGTTCCCCTGTTCTTTTTCAAATAGCAAAAATGAAAAAACTGAACCACACTATTATTGAGCAACAAATTTGTACAGCAATTGTTGATATTAGGCAATATACATAGAAGCTTTCTCTCTTGAACAAATATCATCCCTGGTAAGAAAATCTTTTTCCCAGCGAAAGAAAAATCCTGCACCAAAATTTTCGGATCTGTGTAATTAGCAGAAATTTTTCAGCCGCATTCTCAGATTCATTTACTATGTTGAGAAATTGATAGTAAGCCAAAAAGTTTTAGTAAACTTAACCATGGTTTAAGAGGTTATTTTTATCGCATTATTTTTTACCTTAAGATCATTATGGGACAGATGTCGGTAGATGAAAGCTCCACTGGACAAACTGGATACTTCTTCTACTGGAGGGGAGCCGAGTCCGATATCATATTTCTCTAATTATTTGTCCACTTTTAAAGTGACACACTTATTAAGAAAATAATGATTGATATAGTAAGTTTATCATTTTACTCCTACTAATTATGAAGTGAATGAATTAAAAACTTCAATTTTTCAAGAAATTTTACCTTTTTAAAAGTAATTAATTGAGGATATAATAAAAAAAGAAAAATTTAATTTATCAAAATGAATAAGTAATTAGGGACAACTATAAAAAGAAAAAATGAATGAGTAAAGTACTATGCTATCAATAATGTATCTTCAATTATATGTTTCACTAGACTCAAACATTAATTCGTTAATTATTAATGTGAGAGTGAACATTGGGTGATGTGAAGAAAGACGAAACAATTTATTGACTTAAAAATAAAGTATGCACATGTTCTGTAATAGTACACTAGATCCACAATTTTAATATCGCTATTCAATGGCCAAGTAAATGACGCTGCTGCACTGATTGAAAAAAAAAAAAAAGTTGATTGTAATAAAACATTTAAATTATTTTATCATTTTACGAGTTTTACATCAGAACTATTTATTATTTTAAAACAGAAGTATTGAAAATACTCCTAAATTCGGCGTGAATTATTATTTTCATTCTCAAATTATTGGCAGCCATTAAAATACTAATTTACTTGATTAACTGAACTTAAATATATTCCGATCTCGCAACATGAGTGAAATGCATTCCTAAATATTTTCGTCAAGTTTAGGAGTACAATGTTTTCAACACTTCTCTTTGCTTTTATTAAGAGTGTCATGCTCCTACAAGAGTTTGAAGACCACTTGTTATGTCATGTGACAGATCAGAGGTGTATCTAAGTTTAGTTAATCAAATAGATGGATGTTTTTAAGACTGTCAATAATTCGAGGTCAAAATTAATAATTTACATCAAGATCATGGGTGTTTTCAATCCTTTCTCTTTTATTTTATTTTATATACCTATCTAAACTATTCCTTCATTTATATCAAAAACATACGCTTCTGTTTTTAATTGAGAATAATTTTTTTGGACCAACTCTGTATTGAGATGTGTTTTAATATAAGAAAGAGTATTAGTTTAAGTCGATAGACATAACAATAGGCAGTTTAAACATGAAGAGATCAATAACTTAAATATATCCCGATCTCGCAATATGAGTGGAATACATCCCTAAATATTTTTCGTCAAGTTTAGGGGTGTTTTCAACACTCTTCTTTGCTTTTATTAAGAATCTCATGCTCCTACAAGAGTTTGAAGACTACTTGTTATGTCGTGTGACAGATCAGAGGTGTATTTAAGTTTAGTTAGTCAAGTAGATGAGTGTTTTTAAGACTATCAATAGTTCGAAAACAAAATCAATAATTTACGTCATGAGCAGGGGTGTTTTTAATCCTTCTATTCATTTTATTTTTATATACCTATATCAAAACTATTACTTCTTTTATATCAAAAACATACCTCATTGTTGAGTTAGCTTTACGCTTTTGTTTTTAATTGAGAATAAATATGTTTTAGTATAAGGAGAGTAATTGTTTAGGTCGATAGACATAACAATAGGTAGTTAAAATGGAAACTACTTTTATTTGCAATAAGTTTTGTTTATTTCTCTTCTATTATTTTTTACTGATTAAGTTATTTCTTCAATGGAAAAAAGAGAAAAATCTTCTTGAATTTCGGCACCATTTGTGCAGAGTATTGTGCATCTCAAAACCTATTTTGGGTTTCGAAATTCTTGTGCAGAAAAAAGAATAAACAATCGTCTGATTTGACTAATTTTATTTTGGCAATGAAGATTCTAGATTAAATGTGATTTTAATAAAGATAATTCATATATGTTTCGCAAAACTATGGCTTATAGTATTATCTCTCTCATATTCACCGATTTGCCATAGGTTACAGAGGCGGAGCTAGGTGGGGGTTTATGGGTTCAGACGAACTCACTAGCTTTTTCGTAGACTCTGTATTTGTATTAAAAAATTAAATAAATATATATGTATATTAACTTGTGAACCTCTTAATAATTGATTGACAACTCAGTGATAGTAGAATAGAAATGTCTTTCACACTAGTGTTGTGGGTTCGAACCCACTATCAATCTTCTATGCTAAAATTTAGAATTCAAAAACTCTTAATTCTGACTCCGCCTCTAATGGGTCATCACAAGTCGCTTTCCATAAAATGTGCCTTACCTGGCAACTTGTATGATAAGTAATTAATGAAGATATAAATATCATGATTTAATATTGCAGCTTAGAGATATGGTACTTCATGGCACTAATTCTCGTGGCTGGATATCTCAAGAATGCTGAAGTGGCCGTCGATGCAATTTCTATCTGGTCAGTTCACTATTTTTTTTAATTAATGTGATACTGACATCATTTATTTAATTTGGCACGAATCTTTAGGCTTCTGATTATCTGATAACATCTTTTTCTATATATTTAATTTAAGTATTGATTGACCATAGTAATAAGTAGGATACCCTAACTCGATCGTATATATTTAACGAAAAGTACAACTGTTAATTTTATATATTATTTATAGGTCAAACGCATATGCAGACTCTTAAACTTGTCCCTAAATTTCATTTTGACACTCCAACTCAACCTTGTTTCATTTTAACCCTTCAACTCCAATTTTTATGTTCCATTTATGCACTTCTTTCCAAAGAATCAACAATGTGGGATGTGTGTACTTCACACTCCATGATATGGCACAAAAGCCAATTAAAAACACATACACAATTCCTCTAACTTGCCCCCAATATTCATTTTGACATGATAACTTAGCATTGTTCCATTTAAATCCTTTACCTCTATTTTATATAGTACCATTTAAATAGAAAATACTAAATTTATGATTTCTTCATTTTTTTTTATTTATGTTCTTCATTTTCACTTTTTCATTTTAAAAATCAACGTCACATCTTTTTTTTAAAAAAATAAAATAAAATAATGGATGAACATCAATTTTTTTTTAAATATTTTTTTCTAGAGTTTTTGTACATTATTGTGTGAAACAATAATCGACGAAAGTGTGTTGGTTTTCTTTTTAAAATAGTTAATTAAATTAAATAACACCACATATCTTTTTTCATATCTAGTTTATTTGGACTAACTCAAATATCAGCTTTCTAATTTTTCATTCAACTAAATACAAGTAAAAAAAATTACATGTTCATTGCTAATTAATAACACTATAAAAAATGTTGAAACTCGATAGATTTCATTAGGTTGTCATTGATTTTCTTAAGAAAGAAAATCGATGCACCTTCGTCGGTTATTTTTCACGCACAAATACAAGGAAACCCTCTAAAAGAAATTGCTACTTTTAAAAAAAAAATCAATAATCATCCGTCAATTTTAATTTTTTACAATAACTAACGGATGAACGCCGATTTTTAAAATGTAAAATTGCAGTTGTAGAGCATATATAGAAATAAAGAAATCATAAAATTAATATTTGTGTTTAAATGGTAAATAAAAAAATAGAGTTGAAGGGCTAATTTTTTATTATTTTTTTAAAAAATACTTTTTTTGGTCTTTCACTCTCTAAGAGAAAGTGTGATGCACACTCTGCCACATCACTTAGAAATGCCTAAATGAAACATAAAAATTGGAGTTGAAGAGTTAAAATGGAACAAGATTGAGTTGATGTTTCAAAATGAAATTTAGGGACAAGTTTAAGGGTTTACATATGTGTTTGGCCTTATTTATATGTGGTGTGTGCATGCTCATTATGTATTTTCAAGTAGCAATAAGGATGTGATATAGGGTAAGTAATTTATTTTTTATTAAGAGTTTCAGCTCTATTAGATATAGAGTCATTTTTATTAGGAACGTTTTTTCTTTCAAATTAACATGATGAGATTTTTTGTGTGAATCTGGATAGTGATGGCCCTAATACGGATTTCGACATCAGGTGGAAAACCAGAAGAAAATACATTCTTAAAGAAAAGAAAAAACTTTTAACAGATCATTATAACTTATAAGAGTTATAAAGATACTTTTATGCGCTATACCACTTGACCCGTTGTAATAATAAAAAAAATGAACCCATATTTTCGTATATTACCTTTTTTTTTAGTTCATTTTGTATATATTTTGAAATATTTAGGAAAAAAGCAGTAATTTCTTACTTTGTGATTATAATTTCCATTTTTTATAATTACAAATTGATTGAGAGTGATATTCATGTTTATCATCATAAATTTAAATTTTGATGGGTGAATTAAAGTGAAAAACTAAAAACTCTGTTGTTGGGTTATAAAAGCTTGAAAACTCACAAATATATTTTATAATTTATTGAAATTTTTGATAAATTAATGATTGAGGTTCGTAAAGGATGTCATTTGAAGTTATGGTTAAAAGTTAAAAGTAATTTGGTGATTTTCGTGGGTTGAAGTTTGTAGGAGAGGAAATTTAATTTTTGTATAATTTCATATAATAGAATAGAAGTATCCACATACACCTCTTATACACAATTTATACACGATTAATACATCGTTAAACAGTAACTATATAATATTGTATAAACTTATATATATATATACCGAATGTATAAACATTGTTGAAAAAATTATTATACGAGTGTGAACTAAAATTATGACTTAAGTGCAATATATTACGTTAGGCTATATATTATTGAAAAATCACTTGGGCAATAACGTCACCTATAGTTATTTTTAGGTGACTTAATACATACAAATTGTTTACGTTATCAGTGTATAAAAGTTAAGTATTATCTTTCATTTTTTAACAATGATATCATCATTTGATTGTAGTATGAATATCCAAGGCTGGACATTCATGGTTGCACTTGGATTTAATGCTGCAATAAGGTAATCTTATATAAGAGAAAGCATGCAAGTCGTCAATCCTTGAACTATGTAATATACTTTATTTGTTGGGTTATGGACTAGCGTTTCACTAGAGGTTTCTTATCTACACAACTTTGTGTGATTATGTTTATGTACAGCGTAAGGGTGTCAAATGAACTAGGAGCAGGACATCCAAGAAGCGCGAAATTCTCAGTAATGGTAGCCTCCATCACTTCTCTTTTATTTGGGATGTTCCTGGCAATGGTGCTTCTTGTTTGTCGGAGTTGGTACCCTCTATTGTTTTCAAACAATGAACAAGTCCAACATGTTGTGTATGAGCTCTCTCCTATCTTAGCTGCCACCATTGTTGTTAGCAGTCTTCAACCTACTCTTTCAGGGGTGGCTATTGGTGCAGGATGGCAAGCTTATGTTGCATATGTGAACATAGTTTGTTACTATTTGTTTGGTATTCCAATAGGTCTCATACTTGGCTTCCTCTTTGACACTGGTGTTAAGGTACAATTTTCTCTGTCTTCACTTGATTATTTTGCAAGACATTATATTATTTAATACATGTTTTTTCATGATTTTGTAGGGAATTTGGTATGGGATGCTTGCAGGTACGACTGTTCAAACTGGTGTGTTGATCATGATGATACTTCGAACTAATTGGAACAAGGAGGTAAGACTTACATCAAGAATCAAATTCTTGAATGTAGGTTAGTTATCACTTCTAATTGTAACTTGATTGCAATACAGGCTTCCCTTGCCGGAGACAGGATAAAACTATGGGGAGGAGACTCAAAGGTCAACGAAAATGGTGAAAACCTAACTAACTGACTGCAGACGAGATCGATATCATACTGTTTGTTTAGTTTGGATGCCACAAAAGCTGTGTGTGTGTGAGAGAGAGAGAGCAATTTTAATACGTAGTTTGCATTTGTATATCAAGCTTATCCGGGACATGTGTTGGTTGAGATATGAATAAGATGAGTAAATTCCTCTCTTCAACGCTGTCTGCACAAGGATGACATACACAAATCGAGAATGTTCTCTACATATTTACAGTATCTCTGCCAAAAAGAATCAACTAGTTTCTTGCCTGAATTGACACAATGGATACTTGCTTTCACTCTCAGACGTTGTCCAAGAAATGAGTGTAAACAAATGCAAAATGCAGAGAATAGCAGAATTGATATTTGCTAATTATATTAAACAAGGGTAGAAATATACAACAGGAACTTAGAATGGTAATACACATTAGCCTATACTTACCAATAAAGAATAGAAAGCTAAACGACAAACATCTTTACATGTATGTATATGCTTCATTTTTGTAAAAAGAGTGCAGCTCCAACCAAGGCTATCCATATTGTTAAAATTGCCCAGAATGATTGGCTTTTCTCCAAACCAACTGGGGGCTTCCAGACCAGAAAGTCTCCCACCCAGTCCCTGCTCGATGGAAGCTGATTTGTTGTAGACCGACTTTGTCTTTCATCTTGGTCCTTCTTTTTGTCAGTCCATGATCCAGCATAACTACACAAAATAAAAAAAGGAAGGGAAATTAGTGCTGATCTTCAACAATGCTTGGAATCACTCAGCCTCAGGAAGCATGAGTACCTTAAAAAGCTAATAACCTGTTCAAAATGCAAACCTTTTCTATCAGAAAGATCTATGTGAAGCTGAGAGGCAAGGTTGTGAGGATGACAGGGAGTCAGGGAGAAGACTAGTGTGTCTGACCCAAGGTACCCCAAAATGGATCTTTATGCTGAGGCTGGCTGCCCATTGAAGTCTCTACACTAGAGACAGACTAGCTCACTGGAGTGTTGTTGATAACCTGTATTGTCCCTTGTGTAGCTGCAAATGGAAGTATCTCTCACCTTTTCTTTGAATGTGAGTATATCTGCTAATTTATGGAGTAATATTCTTCAATAGCAGGGGATACAGAGGCAAATGCTGCTTTGGCAGGAAAAGGTGCAGTGGACAGCAGTAAATTGCAAGGGAAAGAGTTCAGCTGCTGAAGTGTATAGAATGGCAATGGCTCGTTCATTATACTATGTTTGGCAAGAGTGGAATATGAGAATCTTCCAGGGAAAGCAGAGGACTGTGGGAGCAATAGTCAGGATGATTATCCAAGAAGTTGTCTTTAGGGGAACCTTGACGGCTAAACTAGCAAAGAAGATGGAAAGCTTGAACTTCTATTCTAGTAGAATCTACTATATGGACTATAAGATAGTTTAGCATTATTCTCGTAGCTCCTTTCTTGTCCTCTGATTCCTGATTCTACCTGTTGTTTTTGTGCATCAATTATCGCAGTATTTTGCTGTTGTTAAATGTTATGTAAGGCTTTCCCTATTATTTGCTATGCCTTCTTTACTTTTGGAAAAAAATAAATCAAACTACTTTGATATGCATTGCTTGAGTCGAGGGTCTTTCGGATATAGTCTCTCCACCTCCACAAGGTAGGAAGAAGGTCTATGTACACTCAACCCCCACCTGTCAGATGTTACCAGGTATGCTGTTGTTGAACTATGTTGCTCAAACTCTTCAAAACTTTTGACAGGTACAAGTCAGATCCTCCAAAACTAGTGCATTTTTGGAGGATCCGACATGGGGGCGGCAGTATTTTTGAAGAGTCCGAGCAACATAGGTTGTTGATGTACTATAGATAGAGGAGTGCATGGACCAGTGGAAGAGTAGCTTACAACTGATGCTGGAGCCATTTTGCTCAGCTTCAATTAGTTTCAAGTGCTTTTTGACTTTGTGTTGCAATATTCCAATTGGTAAATATAATTTATTTTACTTACCCCAAAAGCAAAAGATAATTTCAATTGTTCAACTTTCCTGCTACATCTATGCTTTAACCAATAGATATCATGGAGGCATATATTACAAAATTTTCCAATAATCCATGGATGCTAAAAGTAGCACAAAAATAACAGTGGTGTAATAGTCAATTTCGCTGGACTGTTTCACCACATACCTGTACTACCTCCAACCATTACATACAGGTATCAGATAACTTCGCCCAATGCTTATCAAGGCTTCAGCAGATCAGAAGAAATTACCTAGATGTTTTCGTTTCTGCTGGAAGTTGAACCATGGTTTTCAAAGTTCACACCCACTTCATTTACCACTAAAGTCACATTCTTGGGTAAAGAACTTTAATTAAATTACTGTTACAATTATATTGATGCCAGCTAGTAACTTTATGATCAATTCATTATCGTATTAAAACGACGAACCACTAATGTAACATATTGATTGCCCCACGCACTTGCATATCATGCCCACTGCATAGAAGCAAGTAATTGGTACTGTTTTATTTAGCTAACATACGCAATATAATATTAGATGAATGGGACTTACCTATCATAGCTAGAACCAATAAGTGGTATAGTAACCATTTCTTCTTGAGATATCTTCAACTTAGGTGCTTGCAATATATAACGAAGCTCTGCAGCTTGACGTCGGATGCTGACACTGGGATGTTTCCTTTCTAGTTGCTTATACAAATCAATGCAGTCTGAATGGCGGTTATTAGCTTCATAAGCCATAGCAAGCCATATTTGTATCTGAAAGTTCAATTTGCAAATGCAATTAGTCTTAGAAAAAAAAATTAGCACATTTTGTATGTGGCTACTCAGGAAGTAGCTTGCCACTAACCTCTCCACCAAACAAGGTTGGTCTAGGAATGATGGTAAGAGCACCTTCAAGGAACTCTATTGCACGTCCATACATGCCCTTCCCATAAGCCTTCTGGCCCAAATCGAACATTAATTGAGCAGTTTTTCTGCGTTCCGATTGCTCCTTTGCCACCTAAATTTCAAACCAGAGTTAAAACGATGATTTTGAGACTAAAGGATCTGAAATTTTTCATCAGACCAATTTTTAGCCAAGTAATTTGGAAAATATTTTCACCCTTACTAACTCATCACAATAAAGTTTCACCGCATAAAGCAAGTCTTTTGGTAGAGCGTATTAGCAAAAATAATGCATGCATTAAACCTGTGTATTAGGGGTACCTTGTTTGGTACACTTTTTCATGCTATTTATAACTAATGCTTGCATTAGTTTTACACTCTATTGTGTATAAATGTGTATATTACTAATATCATGGATTTCTAGGTATTAGTAATGTAGGGTTATAGTGCATGCACTAGAATGGTTAAAGACCTCATTGCCCCTTAAAATCTTTTTTACATCTTTTCAACCATAATTGTGAAGGGTATCTTTGTAATAAATATTTTATGCAATGTATGCTATTATTAATACACCAAACCAAACAATGCATAAGAAATCATCTATGTATAATTAATGCAAGCATAACTAAAACAAGCATTACTAATGCACTCTATTTAGCATTATTTTTATGCACTCTACCAAACGACCCCTAAAGTATTTTATGAAGCATGCAAAAGAAATATATGCAATAACAGTTTTGAGGATATTTGCAGCATATTTCTACTGTCACTACAGCTCTTCGAGGGTGTCTTGCTTGCAAATACTCATATTATTCAAATAAGAAAACCATTTCCAACTAGTGGAAAATAGGTTTTAGCCATTGATGCACTACAAAATGAAATTACCCACGATAGTTTCCTTTCATTTGCTCACCAACTAGCGGCTACCACAATTCAAAATGAAATTACTATTCCATCCATTCCAGAATAAGCGTCACTTTAGCACAAATATTTTTTCCAATACATCTCACCTTAGGAATTCAAGATAAAAAATAGTATGTTTTTCCAACTACACCCTTGTAGTAAAGAACTACTCATTAATAGTCCTCAATTATCAAGAAATATCTAATAAATAGGGTTGACTTAGTAAACTATACCTTCTTTTATTATATTATATTTCTTAATGGGTGTGAAATGAGCTACAGTGAAACTAATTTTGGGACGAAAGGAGTACTTAACAGTCACCAAATCCAAAATTCAACCTGAGTACAGTTTCAAAAGTGATGCTATAACAGCAGTTAGTTAAACATAGATGAAAGTGTACACCAGAAAAGGCCATGTTGATCCTATCATAGCTAGGTGCATCAGCTATTTATCTCCAAGAGCTAACACGTAAACCAAGTAATTATACTGCGAAGATATAAAGCATAATATGGATGCAAGTTTCAAGTTCCTTTGGTTCATCTTCTCGTCTGCCTAAATCTAGATGGGCGAGAAGTAACAGGTACGAAAGCTATGATTGGTGGTGTGCACAAACTAGCCCGAACTCTATAATTATAAATAAATAAGGCATGGATTGTTATAACATCAATAATAATACAGGCAATGATAAAGGCATCACCTTTTCGAGCTCCCTTCGAACTCTTTCACGTTTCTCCTTCTCAGTTTCTTCACTGATTTCACCTTCTTCACCATACTCCTCATCAACACGATTCTGCAATTCCTCAGCTTTTTTCTCCAATTCCTTCATTTCCTCTAGCTCCTTAACTCTCCTCTTCATTTCTTTCTCCCAATCGAACTCTTCTCCTCCTCCACCACCTTCTCCTTCATCTTCAACACCATTTCCATTCTCATCATCACTTGAATTCTCATAATCAACCGCACCCACTTTCGAATTCGCTTTACCCCGAAAACCCACTTTCGGATTGACTCTTTCTCTTTCATTTTCAAACCCACTAGAAGCATACATGCTCTGATTCTGACATGGGTCTTTCTTCACAAAAAAGTTCAACAGAACATCCCTCGTTTTCCGATCTGGTAAGACTACGGCACGTGGAGTGGTCAAGTGAGTTCCGTCAAGCAATAGTGCTATGTTTCCGACTACTACCGCCATCTCCGATGAGTACTCAAATGAGTGAAAGAGGAAAACAGAGTTGGAATTTCAAACTGGGAAGAGTAGATATTTTAGCATATCAGTGATGAAATGACGAAAAAGACCATCCGTTTGCGGTTTTGTGATGCTAAGTTAGTTGTAAATAGTGAGAAATTGTCTGGGTATTAATGGGTGCAAGAAAATGGAGACGTGGCCCATCACTATAACAAGAGCCGTGTGGCAGTGAATGCAATTGGGTCTAAGAATTGTTTTGTCACGGCGTCAGCCTTTTCTGCTTTCACGGATGACCCACCATTCTCCGCCGTCGATGTGGCGGAGAAAACACCATCGACGGCAGAGAATGAAACACGATGAACCCTCAAAGACTAATCCAGAAGTTTAGTTTCTAGCTTCGGAATAAACATGTTAGTATATACTATTACCAATTCATGTTAAGACTAATCAAGATTTTTAAATTTTATTAAATTCAGTCACGAATTTATTGATATTTATTTTTTTCCTCCCACTTCACATCCATTACACACACTCTCTCTATCACATCACTTCATTTTCTGACCCTTTTAAAAAAAATTGAAGTGATTTTATTACTATAGGAATTTGGTGACAGTTAAGTTGGTGATTTCTCTGATGAAGGTGGGTAAGTGCAGTAGTGGTGATGGCAGTAATTTATTGATTTATTTGTTTTGCTTGTTAAGTGAAATGAATGGTTCCATATGTAAAGAGAAATAATAATTTTGAATTGACTCACAAGAAAACGAGGTACCACAAAATTGACCTAGGATTTTCTTCTGGTGGCTCCTTCATAGGCAGCAGCTGCGCAGCTCTCATGGCTGCTACGGCCGTTAGACGGCCTCCTTTCGAAGTTGTCCAGCCTGCCCCACCACCACATACGCCATCATTTTCAATTTAAATACTCTAAATCCTAAACAAACTGCCCTAATTAACTAAAAAACAATCATAAAATCAATTGAAATAATTCATGGAGAATCTATTATCACGTTTTCAATGGAGGAAAGGCAAGACTTTATGATCGAAGAGGGATTGCATCAAGTATTGGTATTTAAATTATCCCATAGTGCTCCAGATTTGAAGGTATTAAGGTCAAATTTACCGAAACAACCTGGTACCAAGGGCAATTGTTTAATTGGCTTACTTGCTCCAAGACAAATTTTGTTGAGGTTTGATCAATATGAAGATTATGTACTAGCTTTATCTCGCTCAGTTAATTATCTTTTCTACAATGGAAAGGAGCACCAATGTAGGGTTTCCATGATCCATTGGATATAATCCTAAGGAGGAAACGACACTAGATGTAGCTTGGATTTCTTTACTGAACTTATCTCCAGATTTATTTGCAAAGAAGTCTCTGCTATCTATAGCATCGGCAGTTGGGAAACCAATAGCTATAAATGAAGCTACTTAAGTCAAGTCCTAGCACGGCTAGGGTCAAGGTTATACTTGATCTAATGGAAGAGCTTCCAAATCGTATAAGGTTGCAATTTGTAGATGGAAAATTTGGTAAGTTGATTGAGGTTTTTCAGGAGATTGTATATGATAATCTACCTTTGTATTGCAATTATTGTAAGCAAGGTCATGATGAAAATAGTTGTCATTTGATCTCGAAAAGAAATCAAAATAACAAACAAATTGATGATATCATTGAAGTTGCTTTAAAAGGTACTATCGATAGTGAAAAGTATCAAGGTGATGCGAGAGAAATACTAAATGAAAAAAGAAAGATTGTAGATGTCGATCAAAGTAAAGCTACTTTTTTAGATCAACAATTGGTTGCTGCCATTTCTGAGCAAAATCATGCGGACTTAATGGATGTTGATACAAGTAATATTGGTGTTCAAAAACTACTAAAAACAAATGTGATTGCAATAACCAACAGACTGCTACTAATGAAGTGCAATCAAAAAAAGTTGGGCTGAATTTGATGTCTAATGCAACTAAAAACGCAGGGGGACACCAAGAGTTGGGGTTGATGCGCCGCGAGTTGGTTTAGGGCAAAAATTAATGGATTCGAGACAAAAACTAATGGATACATCTGATGTTGAAGATACTGAAAATTCTGGGCAACATGTTTTGCAAGTTGAAAACGAGAATACAACTAAAAACTGGACACTGGTTGCACATAAAAATTCAACTATAGTAGTCGGACCCTTTCCCCGACTAGTCAAAACAATTCTCCATGTAGTGAAAAGGGTGTGACTGGAGGAGGAAAGATATTAGTAATGCCTCAAGAGACCTATTATGTTCGAACATCGCAGCAAAAAGTCGGTCATGATTATTAAACACCTTCACTGGAATCACAACTACAAAATGAAAAAGGGAGTCAGCAGAAGCAGGAAAGGGGTGTAATTAATATTTGTCTTACCTTTGTGAGCTAACAGAATTTCCCCTACTCCATGGATGTTGAAAATCCCAGAACCGAAGCACGAGCAAAGAAAGAGAGATGGGAGCTAGGAACATGAATGCGGCGGAGTTCAACTACGAAGGAATAGGAAAGGATAACTTCTTCTTTTTTGGGGGAAATGTGTACTTTGTCTTAGACGTAGTGGCTTTATTTCCTAATTTGGGATATCAGATTAGTGATGTATTTTGGGCTTCTAAACCCCTCATATTTTATTTGAAGTGATATAAAAGGACCACTGGTCCAAAAAAAAAAAATTAAAAAAAAGACTACTGAAAAGTAAGTAAGGTTAACAGAGAATGACAACGATTTGATCTAAGAAAAACATGTCTCATCACCTGCTTTGAATAGCAAATTAAGTCCAGAAGCTCTCATATTTGTGCCTAAATGTGTGATTGCAAAGAAGAATGTGTCAAGGGCCTTAGTGTCAAAATACAATTGATTTGGGCGAGGATTCTCTTGATGAAGATAAGGAAGACAATATGTTGGACATATGCTTTGATAGAGTGGCTACGGAAGGGCATATATCACCTAGGCAACAAATAAGTAGAAGCAACAAAAGCAAAAAGAAGACACATGGAAGGCAACATAGTTGGGACAGTAAAATGACTGAGGAGTTCGTTCCAAGGCACCTACCGACGCGACAGGCATAGCAGAACCATTTGACAGTATCAATAGGTTCAACAAGATCCAATAAATCCATAAAGAAGGAATGAATTATCAAGTGTTGTTGGATAGGTTTAAAGAAGAAGACAAGAGAAAAATACTTCAAGTTACTTTTGATGGGCAATCAATCGTTTTTATTTCATGCTTTTGTAATAGAAAATTTGAGGCTGATAACTCAATTTTCTTATTGATTGGCATATTTTTACATTAGTTAAGCATCCTCATTTGTAAATTATCATGGAGTGTACTACAAACTCTGTGAGCTCTTATTTTCTTTATCCTTGTTAGATAGCAGAAGTTAGGTACTTCATTAGGATTAACAAGGTAAGTCCTAACCCCCCCTGCTTGTACTTATCCCTATTTATATTTATTATATTTAATAAAAGGTCGCTAGACATTGTCTAGTGGTAAAATTACTTTTTTTTTAAAAATAAATAGTTCCATATGTATATATAGCTGAGTGATTGGTACTGGCTCTTTGCTTTTAAGAGAAATTTGCATATTAAATCATTATCGTTTTTTGGTTGTTAGAGTTATTATGAAGTACCATACACAATCATTGTTGAAGTCAGGGGTGAATCAACATTAAGTGAAGGGTGGGGTGTAAGTTAGTATTGAGGTTAGGTTCACTTTCATAGAGGAAATTAATATTAAGCAGTTCGAGGATGAAGACTTGAATAAGCTCAGAAAATAAGGTGGTGTCCGGGAAGACTCAAGATGTCATTCTTGATGTTGGTGGGGTGCTCAGTTTTAGAGGGAGGATTTGTATCCCTCGAATTTGTGGTTTGATACAAAATGTATTGATAAAGAGGTGTTTGGATTGACTTAAAATTTAAGTCAATTTTTGACTTCTTAAAGTGTTTGGCAAATATAAAATAACTTAAAATAAGTTAGCAAGTGTTTGGCAAGGTCAAAAATGACTTAAAATAGGTTTAAAATGACTTTAAATAAGTCAAAAAACCAAAAGTAGGTCTCCCCCTACTTTTTATTTTTTGACTTAAAAAGTCATTTAAGTTTGACTTTTCTTTTTGACTTAAAAGCTTCTTTTTTTTAAAAATAAATAAATTCTATTAGTATCTTTCATATGAATATGAAGTTAGTTATTATTGTGTATTGTTTAAAATCATTCTAATGAATCATATATTAAACTCTATATTCGTTTTTATCTTTACTTAAGGGTTTTAGAGTTTGACGTGAGGGTTAGAATCGTAAAATGACTTTCCGTACTTAGAATGAGGGATTTAGGGGTTAAATGTCGAGGTACGACTCCCCAAGGACCAACCAAGGGGTCCTGAGGAGGACCCCAAAACAGCCCCTAAAAGCTGCACAAAAAGGGCCACCTACGGATGGGATTCACTCCCCGTAGGTGGACCCACGCCCCGTGGGAAGGGATTTTGGGTCAAGGCCCCTTTTTTAGAGTTGCAGGCCACTACCCACGAAGGACCAGTACGGTCCGTAGACCCACCCACGATCCGTGGGTCGGGTCTCGTGGGTGAGGCAGTTTTGAGGCTTAGTCGTTCTAAGTTAGGGACTTAGGGGTTAATTCATTATTAGTTAGGGGTCAAGTGGTGTCGTTTTATTAGTAATTAGACCACCTATATAAACCTAATAGACCCCTAAATACATTGATCCTAGACATTATTTTCAACTCATCAAAAGAACCTAAATTCCCTCCAAGAAATTCTCTCTCTAGAAAGTGAAGAAGAAAAAGAAGAGAAGAAAGCTAGGTCAAATTCCTCCATTGTTGCAAGCTTTTTTGAGGGCTTTGAATCAAGGTATGATAGCTTATTCATCTATGGATTCTTCCATCCATAGAGCCCCCTAGATTTTCCCCAATTGTGAAGACAAACCCCCAATTCTAGCTAAGGTTTCTTTCTATATTATGGGTAGTGTTGAGTATGATTCCAACTGAGTGGATAGTACTTGTTTATGATTTTTTTAGTATTGATTCATGATATTATGATGATATTACATGTTTTCTATGGTTAACCCTAGTCTAATTGATGAAATTGATATCTTGTGGGTCTATGCCATGAAAGGTGAAATTGAAGACTTAGTGATGATCTTCTAGAATTGATGTTATGAGTAGTAATTGATCAAGAATAGAAGCATGTAAACATGAATTGAATTAGATTAAAGTATAGATGATGGATCATGACTAGTAATGCATGAGATTGAATCTTTATAATGAGATATGACTAGAATTGATTAAAGATAAAGCTTGTGACTAGAATGTCTTGTGATCTAGATTTGGTTGATGAT